GCTGTCCACTGTCTCCACTCCTCTTTAACATAGTGCTTGAAACTCTTGCAATAGCTGTTGGGGGACCCTGCTGCTAAGGTTGTACCGGATAGCTCTAAGGGGCTCGGTGCTATATGGAAGGACTCCCTTTCTCAGCGGGGGCCTCCTGCTCTCTGCCTGACTTACCTGGAAAGTGCCACCAAGCACGGATGCCTGACCTTATTTGGAACATGACCTTTGGCATAGTTACCTGCAATAAAACTGCCCCCAGGTTTTTTCTATATGATAATTAGGCATTGCCCTACAGTCAGATGATAGGATCCCCCTACCACATGTAAATAAAGCATACTATGAGCACCTATCAGCTGAAGCTTTGGCTGCTGCCTCCACACTATATTTTCCCTGACCCCCACTGAATAAATGGAGCTGTATCACTGAATCTGGAGCTCTATCACTGAATCTGCCTCCCCGGAAAGTCTTTTTCCATCATGCTCACTGGCCGTCCTGAACCCGTTCATTGCTTCTGCTCCCTTTGTCCTTGTGGATCGGTGGCCAATGACCCACGAGGGGAGGGAGAGACTCACAAACAGCAATAAGACAAGAGAAAGAAATTAAAGGAGTAATAATTGGAGAAGAAGAGATCAAATTATCCCTTTTTGCAGATGATATGATATTATATCTAAGAGATGCCAAAAATTCCACCAGAAAACTCCTAGAAATTATTAACATGTTCAGTAAAGTGTCAGGTTACAAAATTAATCTACAAAAGTCTGTAGCCTTTCTATATACCAGTAACAAGAAATCAGAGAAAGAGTACATGGAAACATTCCCCTCTTCACAATAGCTGCAAATATATATATATATATAGATAGATAGATAGATATAGATATAGATATAGATAGATAGATAGAGAGAGAGAGAGAGAGAGAGAGAGAGGAATAAACCTGACCAAAGACATTAAAGACCTCTACCATGAAATTTTTAAATCCTTAAAGAAAGGGATTGAGGAAGGTATTAGAAGATGGAAGGACCTCCCATGCTGATGGATTCAAAGAATTAATATTGTGAAAATGAACATCCTACCAAACGCCATTTATAGATTCAATGCAATGCCAATCAAATCCCAATGACATTTTTCACAGAATTGGAAAAAAAAAACATCCTAAGATTCATATGGAAGCACAAAAGGCCTCGGATAGCCAAAGCAACCCTGAGCACTAAGAGCAATGCTGGGGGGACTATTATACAAGATTTTAAGCTGTATCACAGAGCACAGAGTTATAGTCATAAAAACAACATGGTACTGGCACAAAAATAGACCCATAGATCAATGGAACAAAACTGAAGACCCAAATATGAATACATTCAATTTCAGCCACCTGATATTTGAGAAAGGGGCCAAGAATATTCATTGGAGGAAAGACAGAATGTTCAGCAAATGGTGCTGGCAAAACTGGATCTCCACCTGTAGAAGAATGAAACTAAACTATCTGTTTAGATAAGACAATAGTAAGGGCTGAGGTGATAGCTCCATTGGTAAAGCCCTTGCTGTTTAATTCCCCTGAAGGCCAAGCATAGCAGGCACTTGGAATCTCAACTGTTAGGGAGAGGAGACGGCTGGATCTGTGGCGCGTGCTCACCAGTCAGCCTAGCCTACTTGATGAGTTCCAGGCCAGCAAGAGACCCTGTCTCAAAAACAAACAAATGAACAGGATAGACAGAGCCTGAGAAATGACACCTGAGGATGTCTTCTAGCCTTCACATACATGTGCACCTCTATGCACATATATACATACACACAAACACACAAGTGAAAAAGGGGTACAGGAGGTTCTCTGAGTGCCCAGACAGGCTAAAGCAATCATGGTGAAAACTTCACCAACTTTAAAGACAAAAGATAGGTTTTTAAAGCTTTCAAAGTGAAAAATAGAATGTAAAATAAAACTCCAGAACTTCTACACAACTGAGACTCGGGAGGCTGAGGCAAGAGGATTACTCTCCACCTTATGTTTTGAGACAGGGTCACTCACTGGACCTGGAGCCTGTCATTTCAGCTAAACTGCTGTCCAGTGAGCCCCAGGGTTCCTCCTGACTCCACCTCTGCAGCACTGGGATTACAGGTGTGTGCCAACATGCCTGGCATCTTACATGGGTTCTGAGGATCAAATTCAAGTTCTCATACTTGCGTGGCAAGCACTTTTATGGACCATTCTCCAGACCAAAAGCTTTTGGGGGCTTTTTGGGGTCTGGGTTTTTTGTTGTTGTTTCTTTGTTTGTTGATAGGATCTCCATATAGTCACAGCTGGCCTGGAACTGGCTATGTAGACCAAGTTGGCCTTCATCTCATGGAGATCCAACCTGCCTCTGCCTCCTGACTGCTGGGATTCAAGGCATGTACCATCAATCGTGTTTTGTTTTGTTTTGTTTTTTATGTGTATGAGTGTATAGGTAGGTGCACCCATGTTGTGCAGTGCCCACGGAGTCAGAAAAGGGTGTCAGATCCCCTGAAACTGGAGTTACTGTTAGCCACCATGTGGGTGCTGGGAATCGAATCCAGGTCCTCTGCAAGAGCAGCCAGTGCTCTTAACTGCTGAGCCATCTCTCCAGCCCCGTGTTTTGTTTTTTAAGTGACCAAGAAACTAGAACCAGTAGAGAGGAATACCAGTGTTGCCTTACTTGTTCAATCAGTATGGCACAAGTAATGTGTCTATCTAAAGAGGGAGTCATGGTAGGAAGGAAACTTATTTTTTATCGTATATTCTTTTTTTTTTTTGGTCTTTTTGAGACAGGGTCTCCCTGTAGCCCCAGCTGACCTGGAACTCGCTACATAGACCAGGCTGGCCTCAAACCCACAGAAATCCACCTACCTCTGCCTCCTGAGTGCTGGGATTAAAGGCATGGACCACCATGCCAGATAAGTTAAAACATAATTTTAAAATAAAATGAAGCTAGCAGAAAATATAGAAAATACTTTCACTGATTTGCAAATAAGTTCATAAGTAACTAAATTAAAATAATAACCAATTATATTATTGAAAATACAGTTGAATTTGAGCTGGAGGGGCAGTAATCTAGAGTTAGTAGCAAAAGTCAGAATCTTATAATTTTTTGAGCACAAAACCATACAGTTCAAGCTCTCTTGGTGAAAGCAAATCCCTTCATGAGAGCCAGCAAGATGGCTCAGAAGGTAAAAGAGCTTGCTACACAAACCTGACAACCTGAATTCGATTCCCAGATCTCACCACGGAGAGAGAACAGACTCCTGAAAGTTATTCTCTGACCTCCATGTACAAATCATTATGCAAATGGGTACACATGTGTATACAGACACATAAATAATATTTTTTTAATTTCTTCATGAGAAAACTAAAGTGCAGTTAGGTTAACTGAATAAATGTCCAGTTCACTGTGGTATCACTAAACTAGAGCCCAAGTCCCTCAGTCCTACTATCTCTTTTGTCATACATACTAGGCTGCTTGCTTGAAGAGCCTGGGTTGTAAAGAGAAAATTGCAATCTCAAAGCCAAACTATCCATCTCTAAATATCAAAAGAGAGGCTAGAGAGATGGATCAGTGATTAAGAGCACTGGCTGCTCTTCCAGAGGACCCGGATTCAATTTCCAGCATCTACATGCCAGCTAACAACCATCCATAACTCTGTTCCAGGAGTTCTGATACCTTCTTCTGACCTCTGCAAGCATTACACAACATCAGTGCACTTACACACATGCAGGCAATATACTCATAAAATACAAATAATAAATATTTTTAAAAAATAATTTCTATAAATGTCAAGGGATGGAGAAATGGATCAATAGTTAAGAGCATTAATTGCTCTTTTAGAGGACCCAGGTTTAGCTCCCAGCACCCACATGGTGGCTAACAATCATCAGTAACTCCAGTTCCATGGGATTTGATGCCCTCTTCTGACCTTTGCAGGCACTGCATGCACATAGTACACTTACACACCTGCACATGAAACACTCATACACATAAAATACAAATAGATAAATCACTAAAAAATTTTAAAATGTTAAGAGTTCCATTGTTTGCCTGGTAAATCAGAGACAAAAATAAACACAAATAACTCCTAAGTGCTCTTGAGGTCACTAGGACATGGGAACTAAAACCTATCCCAGTCTGCAAATATCAGAAAATTTTCCAATTTCCCAGACACTTGATTTGTAATTTGTTCCCCAGAAACTGTGGCAGAAAAACTCTGAAAGCTCACTTACCCAGAAAGCACGGCATGCTGTCCAAGACAGTCCACAGACATGGCAGTTGCCTGTGAGAGAGAACACAGATTCAGTTCTGTCAGCAAACCTGGCCAGGGGAAGAAGACAGACCTACCACTGGCTTCTTTTCTATCTCCCAGGCAAGCCCTAGCTAGCAAGAATCAATTAGTAAGTCTCAGTTCTCTGTAGTGGATACTTTTACACCCTTCTAGTTCCCACTCAAATCTCACATTCGCTTTGACAACATGACAGTTTCTACACACACACACACACACACACACACACACACACACACACACACAAGGTAGCACATTCTTAGTTGAGGAGACATAAGTTCTAGAGTCCTCTGGGAGTCTGACTAGTACAGAGCAACCAGCAGTTACTACACACAAAGACCTTCTTCCAAGGGCAATCTAATGGAACATTACCCCCCATATACCCACAAAACACACCCATTTTTCCAAAGTGCATGGAAGCATCTTCAAGCCATATGGCATGTTATTCAAATACCATCCCTGTTGAATCCCAGGTTATATTCTTTCTAACTTACTTTTCTTATTATTATATAGGGTTACATAAAGCCATTTTCAAACAAGTAGATAATATACTTTGAGCATATTCCACATACTCTGTACCTCACTATCCTCCAAGGTTATGTTCTTGTTAGTTACTAAGATACCCTGTTCACACTCAATCTGAATTCTCATCGCATTTTACTGGCTTCCATCTCCCGGGTCTTCCAATTCCTAGTGAGCACCATCATCAAGATTCAATGCCAAGGATCCAAAAGATTACACTGATCCAGTGAGAGCTGAGGCATGTGGCCAACTTTGATCCCGGCAGTTACAGCCATATTCTCATATGTGCCATTTGTACGGTCACTATATGCTCTAAGCCCTTTTCAAGAGAGCATGCTGGGAGAATTCACTTTGTGCATGCTGCCACAATCATAAATCACAGAGGGTAAGCACAAATTCTCTCCTTCAGTCTTGCTAGGTTTACTAATAGGTTTTTCACACCTGTCTACACTCAAAAACCAAGCCATTGGTAAGATGGAGGGAGGAAGCCAGACTGCTCTCATCAGGGGCCAAAAAGTGATTCAAATGCATCCTTCATAGTGCCCTGAAGTCCTGAGCAGAGAAAAGCCCAGCTGGAAAGGCAAGCTGTGATGCCATGCCATCTCCAGAATTCTTCTGTGCAATTTAAACATTAATGTTATGAAAAGAGGACAAGATGATTCCTCCAAAAAGGGGTAGAGTGATCTTTCTGGAGGGTATGTGGTGGCAGAATCCTAAGACGATAGCCCCAAGACCGGGGCTCTTTGTGTGCATATCTTCTCCCTCTGTGCAATGCTAATAATTCTACTCTGGATACTGCTGTAAATGGTTTTACTGACATGATCAAGGTCCCAAATCAGTAGACCTTAACATGAAGAACTTGGAAAAACCCAAGTGTCTACCAGCAGATGAATGGAAGAAAATGAAAATATGATCTACATATACAATGAATTAGTATTTGGCCTTTAAAAGCAAGGAAATTCTGATATACACTATAGCATGAATGATGCCTAAAGATTATGCAAAGTGAAAAGGGCCAAACAAAAGAGACAAATACTGTATGACTCCACTCAAAACAGGAAATTCACAGGCAGAAAGTAGACTGGAGGCTGTCAGGAGTTGGATAGGGGAGAGAACAGGGAATTGTTTTTTAATGGACATGGACCTTCTATTTCGGATGGTGAAGGTCTTTCTATTTGGGAAGTCAGGAAAGAGGGGCAAACACTGAGAGACCTAAACTCACTGGCCATTTAAACAACATTTTAAGTTTAAGGAGAGGGCATTCCTTACAGACAGTTATGGAAGTGGAAGGGGTCACGGGGCAACGACCTGAAGTGAGCTCTGGAAGCTGAAGGAGCCCCTAAACAGCACCACCAAGGAAGCAGGAATTTCAGTCCCAGAACCCTAGAAACGGGACAACAACCTGAATGAACTTGAAAGTGGAATCTTCTTAGAGTGAAGCCTCAGGTGAAACAGCTGGTTGATGCCCTGATTTCCGCCCATGAGATACTGAATCAAGAAATCAGCCACGTAGAGCCTGGACTTCTGAGCCACAGAGCTCTGAGCTAATAGATGGGTATTGTTTGAAGTTACTAAATCAGCAGTGTACAGCAAAGGAATACTAATAAAACATGACTTGGCAACAGTCCAAATATGTCATGGCCTTTGACTCAGGAATTCTATCCAAACTATAGCAAATGCTTAACTTACAACTAAATTATACATATCTGTACAAAGCAATATTCTAGAAATATTTTTAAATAACATGAAAAATGCATCAAACTGAAAATCTATCATAATTCACCATACTTTTTATATCTATATTTTTAAATTTTACATGTATGAGTGTATTGCCTGCATGTAAGTTCACCCATGTCAAGCAGTGCCAACGGAGGTCAGAAGAGGACGTTGGAGCCCCTGGAACTAATGTTACAGACAGTTTTTAGCCACTATGTAGGTGCTGGGAACTGAACCCAGGTCCTCTCCAAGAACAGCCAGTGCTCTTAACTGCTGAGCCATCTCTCCAGACCCCATAACTCACCATATTAAATGAAGATTTTTTTTATTGGTTTTTTTTTTTGTCTTTTTGAAACAGGGTCTCTCTGTAGCCCCAGCTGTCCTGGAACTCACTATGTAAACCAGGCTGGCCTTGAACTCACAGAGATCCGTCTACCTCTGCCTCCCAAGTGCTGGGATTAAAGGCATGCACCACCACACCCGGTCAAATGAAGTTTTTTTAAACGTGTATTTGTTTACTTCAGGAAGGGCATGCCTACTAGGGTGTGAGTAGAGGTCAGAGGACAACCTGCAGGAGTTGGTTCTCTGCTTCCACCCTGTGGACTGAACTCAGGTCATCAGGCTTGGTAGCAAGGGCCTTTACCCACTGAGCCATCTCAACAGCTCAGGAAGTTTATTTATTTATTTTTAATTTTAATATCTTTTATATGAGTGTTTTGCCTACATGTATGTGTGCAACATGCATGAAGTACTTGAGGAGGGCAGAAGAAAGATTTGGACCCCCTGAAACTGGAGTTGGGGATAGTTGTTAGCAGCCATGTAGGTGCTGGGAACCAAACCCGGATCTTCTTTAAGAACAGTAAGTGCTCTTAACCACTGAGTCATCTCTCTCCAGGCCCCCAGGAAGTTATTTTTTAAAAAAGAAAACCACCACCTGATTTTCCTTACTCTTACCTATTAAAAAAAAAAAAAAAAGAAAGAGAAGAAAGCTACCACTGTGTTTGCAGAACACATAAAGAGGATCATGCCAAGAGGGGATGGCAAGAGGGACGTGCTTGCTGAGAGACATGAAACAACTGGCCCAGAGAAAAGGGTGATTTGTAGGGGCAGAGACTACAGCCCAAGGCCTTGCCACTAACAGGGCACCAGATGAGAATGACTGAAAAATGCTAATCAATTAAGAACAACAGGGGGTGGGGAATGAGATCCTTACAGGAACCCAATGCACGAGAGGAAGGGAATCTGTGCAGTGACTGAGGTAGAATTCCCTACCTGCCCGTAAGAAGGGGCTTGCTGCACAGCGAGGGTAAAAATGGAAATAAAAATCATATTCTCAACTAAAATTTAAATTGAGGGCCTTTGAGATGGCTCAGTGTGAGAAACACTAGCCACACAAGCCTCACAACCTGAATTTGACCCCTAGAACCCTCAGTAGGAGAGAACTGACTCCTGAAAATTGTCCTCTGACCTCCACACATGCACCACAGGAACATGCACATCTGTATTCACACACATACATTATACCAACACACACATATACAATAATAATAAATAATGTGAATTCAAGGCCAGCCTGGTCTGCATAGCAAGTTCTAGGCCAGCCAGGGCACATAGGGACACCCTGTCGAAAACAAAACAAAACCATAAAAACACCAATTGACTACTTTTAAATGTGTCCCTAAGAAAAATACCAGAGAGGTGGCACCTAGTAGGACTACAGGCATGTACCACCATAACCAGCTCAACCACAATTCTCTACCATCTCCTTTTCCCTTTCCAGCGTACCTAATGCTAAACCTAACACAGAGCTATGATTATATCAACTCACTGCTAGAAATAAACAACAAAAACCCTTCACTGGTTTTTCACTTTCACTAGAATCAACTGTAAACCCCTCAGTCTTCAACCCCTTACTAATCAGGGGCTAACAGAGTTCTTCAGTTTTGTCCTCTGTTCAAGCCAGGCCAATCCACACTGCTCACCTTTCTCCAAGGTCAGCACCACTCCCAAGCCTGGAGACAGCCCAGAGCCCCTCCATCCTCCAGGAAAGCCCTCTTTTCCTGCAGAAATTCTATTAAGTCCTAAGGCAACCCTCCTCTAAGCTCTCCAGAGTCCTCCTCACAGATCCCACCTTCCCCCAAACACTTTCTCTGCTTCTAGGTCTACCTTAGGACTCCGCCACATGGTGGTAGTTATCTGGACACATTTCTCTTCTCCCTCTTCATAATGAGCACAGCAGAGTTCATACCATTTCTCTCAGAGTACCCAGTAAGGTGCTCTGCAAACATCTGTGGTACTGAAGACAGGTCAGAACCAGGGTCCTTGCAGCTCACCCCATGCCAAAGTGCTTCCCTGACACCTCTAATAATTTCTTCTAGCCTTGATAATTTATCACCCATGAATTGATCTACACTCCTGAAGTACCTTCAGTTCTTTGACAACTGCTGCCCACTGTGTGAGGCTTTCTATAGAAGAGAGAAGTCTGATAACTATTTCATGCATCTTACTCACCATCTTGCATCATAAAAAACTTCAACCAAATCTTCTACCTTTATTTTTAACATACTGAAAAGTCTTCTCCCACCTGTAGGAAAACCAACTCATTTAGAATTGCTGTCAAAGGGCTAGAGAGATGGCTCAGCAGTTAAGAGCACTGACTGCTCTTGCAGAGGACCGGGATTCAATTCCCAGCGCCCACGTGGCAGCTACAAACTGTCCTTAACTCCAGTTCCAGGGGAATCCAAAGCCCTCTTCTG